TAAATATGTTATATCCTAATGACCCCCCAAGAGAAGGTAACAGCACTAGTAACAGTACTAATCTAGACTATGACATAACAGAGGATCTTAAACGTTTGTATTTAAATGTATGTGGGCTAAGCAGGAGATTGCAATACCCAGACTTTAGAGAACTAATTGAAAAATATGATATAGTATGTTTTACTGAATCAAAAACTGATGAACAAGACAATATTAATTTGCCAAACTTTACATTCTTTGCTAAACATAGAAAAGCATTTTCAAACTATCGTTCAGGTGGAATAGTTCTTGGGTGTAAAAATCAATTAGCTAGTTTTATAGAACCACTTGAAACTGACTCAGAATACATTCAATGGTTCAAAATTGATGGATCATGTTTAGACTTTAATGATGACTGTATTCTAGGTGTTGTTTATATACCACCTGAGAAGTCTAACTACAGCTCATCAGATGCATTTAATGAAATTGAAAGAGAATATCTTGTCATAAGCTTTACATACGATAAAATTTGTTTAATAGGAGGTTTTAATGCTCGAATAGGAACAAATGATGATTTCTGGACCACAGATGAAGTAACTAGTCATGAACTTAATACAGGTGACCCAGACATTGACAGATTAAATGATATTGCTAAACTTGATGAACTGAACATTCCTAGAAAAAGGCAGTCAAATGATGCCAAGAAAAATAATTACGGATATTACTTACTAAATCTATGTAAATCAAATAATCTTTTTGTGCTAAATGGTAGGTCAAGTGTTGTAGATTATTGCATAGGAACACCAGAATTTATAAGGGGTGTAGTTGACTTTGAAATATTAGATTTTTCTAAACTTTTCTCTGATATACATTTACCATTGGCTTGTTCACTCAAAAGCGGTCAGCACAAACAACAAACAGATAAAGTTAAGAAAACAACAGACCTTTTTATTGAAAAAACCAAAGCATGGGACAACACCAGATCAACCCTATTTTGTGATAATATTGATAAACAAGAAAGTGAAAAAATTTTGCAATACATTGGTAATCTTAACATAAATGATGTCTGTAAGGAGAAAATAGACTTTATCACAGAAAAAATTGCTGAAATTTTACTTAACTCAGCTAAATTAACGCTAGGGACATACAAGTATAGAATTAGTAACAAAAATGAAATTCGTAAGAAAAGGAAAAATAATGTATAGTTTGACAAAAAATGTTTAGAAACTAAAAAACAATATAGAAGAGCAAAAAGGTTATACAATAAGTACGGGTCAAATATTTTCAAAAGTGAACTTAGAAAAGCAGAAAAGTGCTACAAGACCACACTAGATAGTAGAATAAAAAAGCATGGAATAACTATTATGAACAAAATAAGGAAACTCAGGTATGCAAGTCCAAAGGAATNAATCTATAAGCAAAAGGGAAACATAAATGACCCAAAGAACTATAGGCCAATTACTTTACTCAGTTGTCTGGGTAAAGTATTCATTTCTATATTATGTAAAAGACTAACTGATTACTCTGACAACTTTATGCTGTTACAGGAAAACCAAGCTGGCTTCCGAGCCAACTATTCTACCATTGATCACATATTTACATTAAATACACTTATAGACCTTTCAGTTGCATCAAAAAAGAAATTATATTGTGCTTTCATAGATCTAAAAGCAGCTTTTGATAAAATATGGAGGGCAGGGTTATGGGGGAAGCTAATGAACCACAATGTAAATGGAAAATGTCTGAACGTTATTGTAAACATGTATAATGGCTGTAAATCTAGAATATCTTTAAATGGTATGTTATCGGAATATTTCCCATGCAAAACAGGAGTACGACAGGGTGAAAACCTATCACCCTTCTTATTCTCAGTATTTCTAAATGATCTTGAAGAATTTCTAAAGCAAAAAGATGTCACAGGGTTATCACATGTAACAGATGAACTAGAACATGAACTACACATATTAATGCAAATAATGATCATACTATATGCAGATGATACGGTTCTCCTAGCAGATTCAAAAGAAAACCTACAATATCAACTTAATTGCTACTCCACCTACTGTCAGATATGGAAGTTAGAAGTAAATGTAGAAAAGACAAAAATCATGATAGTTTCTAAGGGCCGCACCCAAAAGAATATAAAATTTACTTTTAATAACCAAAATGTAGAAATAGTTAATTGTTTCAAGTACTTAGGAGTTTATTTCTCTAAAACGGGATCATTTTCAGAAACAAAAAGGTATTCAGCAAAGAAAGCAACTAAAGCTATGTATGGGATATTTAAGAAAGCAAGGCATCTAAATCTAAGCATTGTTGATCAGCTATATCTCTTTGATAAGATTATTGTTCCGATTTTATTATATGGATGTGAAGTATGGGGATTTGGGAATTTAGAAATCATAGAACAGGTGCACTTGAAACTTTGTAGATATCTATTAAATCTAAAAACCAGCACTCCCAAGATAATGATATATGGGGAATTAGGTAGAATGCCATTAAGTATTATTATAAAAGGAAGAATTGTATCATTCTGGACAAACTTGCTCACAGGTAAACAAAATAAATTTTCATATTTATTGTATAAACTCGTTTATAACAAATTTATGCAGGGATGTGAATGTAAGTGGATGGGAAATCTGAAATCCATTCTGGATAACTGTGGTTTAAGTAATATATTTAGCACACAGGATGTCTGTAACAAGGAATGGCTTATAAATTGTGTTAAACAGAAATTGCAGGATCAGTATATACAAGAATGGAATTCAGATTGTAACAACTCTAGTAAAGGGTTAAGCTATAGTATTTTCACAAACTCAGAGTTTAAATGCAGGAATTATATACTTTCTACTTTATGTACACACAAAATAATTACAATAGCTAGATTCAGAACAACAAATCATAGA